TAGTTAGTCCGTCGTAAACTAAGTTAACGGTTACGGTAGTATAATTATATAAGACTACTCGTTACTTACTTACTTACTTACTACTCGTACGTGTGTGTGTAGTATATATATATATATATATATATATAACTACACACACACACACACACACACACACACACACACACACACACACACAAATGAACAAAAACAAGCCCAAACAAAAATCAAACCAAAGATGCTGCATAAATTAAAAGGATTTCCAGGGTACAGACTATAATGTTGGATATAAAATTTGCCCTGGATTTTAGAGGTGACATTGCAGTGGAGATACACTGTCTATATGTCTATATGCCAGTCTCATATGATGAAATTCATAAAAATAAAATAATCAAGATAAATAGAAATTAGGAGAGCAAGATGTGGGTGCTCAAGCCCACAACGTACCACATCTATATCACCCTTCACTGCCTGCAGACAGTTGTGGGAAGGTGACTGCTCTCCATAGTAAATAGAGAAAAAATGAAATAAGGTACTAACACTTGGGGGTAAGTAAGATAAAGTTACCTCCTGAGCCCCCAGCCCTCATTATAATAGTAAAGCACTAATTAGTAGCACAGTAGACAAATTATACTAGTATAAAATTCCAACCAAGTTATCTAAACGAACTAATATAACTCCCAACCACCACCTGTTAAGTCCACTGTAACTACCAATTTCCAGATTTTACACAAGCCTTTGCATATGATAAGGTGTTCATCCACATAAAAGTAGTGCTAAGTTGTTTAAATGACCTTATTAAAACTACAAATACTTACTGGAAACTTTCAGTAAAATCTCCTTAATTTTTACTTCTTTATATTTACTTAATACATTATTATATTTATCACAGAATATTGTAATAAATTTATTCAGTTTCTTTATTGAATCCATTGAATATTAATCTTTTAATAGAAAAATAGTTTTTTTTTGTTTTTATTATTATTATGAAAATAGGTTTATTGGAAATTGTATAAACCTGGACATTTAAGACCTATTCCTCATCCTCTTGCCTGTGGATGCTATCTTTCCAATATTTATGCCATTAATGTTTCTTGTATCCTTTACCATTCCTTTCATGTGATCCTCTATCCTGACTGATTCTTCCTGCCTAAGAACCTATGTGGCCTGGGAATGTGGTTTTTCTTTCTCACCCATTTCCTTACCTTTAATTTCCCATCTGTTCTCTCATTCCAATCCGGATAGGCTTTTTTTTTTCCAGTTTAATCCTTGAGATGTTATATAGCTCTTACTGCTTCCTTCCATAGTTCTTGTTCCTCACTATTTATTTGTTGGAACCTTCCTGTTTCCCATGATCTGTCTCCAGTAATTCTCACACCAACTCATCAGGATGGTGTATTCGGACTTGTCCAGGGAAGGTAGCTGTCTCCACGATGTATCTTCACATCTAATTCATCACATTACCATGTCTTTAGCTGCTTAACTTTGTCTCTTCATGAAAGAAATTGTCCAGGCTGGTATGTGGACAACTCCCAATACCTTCATCACTCATTAGCTGCATGATCTGGCTATTTCGTCCTGTAGTGGGTATCATCTTCCTCCCATGGTGATTCTGCACATGTTCACTCACCTTTAACTAGTGTAAATCTGCTCATTTCTTTTCTTTTATGTTTTCAGCTTCCTTAACCTTCTTTATGGGTCTCTTGCCTAGTGGTGGGTATTGCCCGATCAGTTATGCTTTCTCTCAAAACTGCACTAAATGCAATAACTATTCTTTCCTGAGGGTGTATGTGTATATCTATGTATTACATATGTAGTGGACTGTCACTCATGGACTTCATGAATAAAGCAGACAGGGATTTATACCCATTCCTGCTAACCCTTTTATTCCTTCATTGTGTTCAGATTGCTTTCAAAATAGGGAAATGCAATCATCTATTGCACTTTCTCCTGTGTGATGTTCCTCCAGAATCCCCACTGGTTTTTTACACCACCACCCCTATTTCTTCGAGTGGAGCATTGGAATTCTTACCACTCTCAGTTTTCAGTCACTGTGGTGGTGGACATTGGAGGCTTCCTCTTGAGTGTAACAATATTTGTACCTATTTATTCATCCAGGAAAAGAGGGTGAAGTTGGTTCCCTACTGGTGCTTACCCCGGGTGTTTTTTGCCAGGGTGAACCGCACTCAATATAACCAATGATCAAATATTATTTGAGGCCATCCTACATGGGATCTGCTTCATAATTCTGGGATCAGGATGACAATGTCCTGTTCCTATGGTTGTGTGCAGTAGATGCCTTTCTTCTCATTAATTCCAGTTGCAGAAGGTTCTTTCCTGCTCCTACAGTTGGGTTTGAGAGACTTCATAATACCAGCAACGGGACATATATGCTCTGTTCCTATAGTTGGGTGAATGCTGCTTGTCCTCCTTAGAATTCCAAATACAGGATGCCTCTACTCTGTGTTTATGGTTGTGCCATTAATACTGGTGACAGATTTCCCTGTTCTTATATTTATATGAGTCGAGGCAATGCTAAGACCCTGTAATGCCAGGTTTGGTTTGTCATGCTTCTTGCTCCCACAGTGGTTTTTGGGAGTTTGTCTGATAATGACCATTTGCTCACTTCCTCTTTGTAATTCCGTTTGCTTGATGTACAGCACTGTTTATTTGTGGTTGGGGTTGTTGTATATCAATAACATGATCCACATGCCCTAGTCACCTGTTTGTTATTAAATTTTTTATATCGTTATATATTGATACATCTTGCTCCTCCTCCTTAATGCTCTTACAATTGTGCAAGCATTTCCTTTTCCATCCATTTTATGTTACTCTCCTAATTCTTGGTATGCTTCATTTTTATCTCCAAGCACACCCGTTCATTCTGGGCAGTCACTTTCCACTGGGACAGTAAGGCATCTAGTATTTGCATATTATATTTCTCTAGATCATGTGTGGTTTTATGCATAAATGGCTTGTACACAATGACAATATGCAAATATAAATTCTTGTATATTATCTTTATGTATAGTGGTATTGATTATAGGAAAAACTGGTGTATGAGAAATCAGTTTTGTTCTTCTAGTTTAGGCCAGTCTTTTAGACCCACTGTGTAATCATATTTTAAATCTGGCAAGTTATACTTTGATTTTCAAATGTTTAATAATACATATATGTTTAGTTTCTTGTTAGAATTGTAGTGGGAACACCAAACTTTTTTTATTCCATTGACTAGTAAGAAATCGGCTTCTGGACAATTTTCTTATTCAAGAAAAAGAAAAGAAATATGTTGGTTATGAATTGTTTCTGGAAAGCTGCAAAAAATTGTTATTAATGATAACAAAATCACACTTAAAATTTTGTGGAGAGGGATTGTTGGAGATTTGTATTGTATAATGATAGTCTGTGACTGTATATTGTATGTATTTGTATGTATATGTATGCATATATAGACACACACACACACACACAACTATTAACTCATTAATTACTATGTTCTGTTGTAGGAAGCTGTAGGGTTTGAACTGTGGTCAATAACTGATAACATCATGTTTGATAATGTTATAATCACTGATGATCCAGTGGTAGCAGAGCAGTGGGCGGAAGACACGTGGGCATTGAAAAAGGAAATTGCTGATCGAGAAACGGTAAGCTAGCTGTAACTGACAGAATTAATTGAAAAAACTGACTGAAATGACTCAAGTACATGTACATTTATGCACCAAGCATAAATTTAAGAAATGTGTTTGCTCTGAATATGTCATTATATTTCATGTTTATGTTTACAGTTGGGGACAAACATTACTTTTATTTCTTGATATTGATATTCAAATTTTATAGATGTAATGATTTTAGAGTCTCCATGTTTGAGGGGCAAGTATTTTGGGGCTCCTGGATGCAGTGATATTTTAAAGATTGCATTTCACTTGTTAGTTAGCTAAATGAATTGGCATACACAGGCAAGAATATGCCGCTGAATTTTCCATTGCTCAACAGTAGTTATCTTTGTGAATTTTATTTTTGTGATTTTAACTACAATTTGGAAACCCCTTTGTTCGTGCCATCCCTGTTCCTAGGACATATGTATGAAAGTGTTATTGCATTATGATTTTTATTTTTACATCTGTAATTGTATTTCCTCATACATTTAGTATGTATATTTAACTTGCAGGGAAATGTAGAATTTGTCCTGGGATTCGTATATATTATCTACCAAAAATAATGTTGGAAAATTCATGTTTTAAAACACAGTTTTAAATAGAAATGTACAGTACCAACAACATCAAGACAACTAAAAAAAAAGTGAGTTGCAATTAATGAAAAGCAATTTAAACGTAATCTACTTTGCATTCAGTTTGGAGATTTGCTGTTTGGTGAGAATGTCTTCTGAGTGGGAAAGAATGCTTGCGAGCAGAGAATTTCCAATTGTAAATGCCTTGTTGATAATTCAAACTTAGTAAGTCTGGTGCATTTAAGTAACATTGTGTGTGCTACATTAAAAGATTATCTCTGTTCAGATTACTCTGCCTGCAGCCAGTAAATTATTAGTTATTCAGATTATTTTGCATAGAGACAGTAAGTTGGTAATACTCCAGATTATCTTGCCTGTAGACAGTAAATTATTAATTCTACAGATTTTCTTGGCTGTGTCATTAATTTGTGCTTTTATAAATATTAAAAATTGAGTCACTGTCCATATATGTATATGTATGTATGTATGTATGTGTGTGTGTGCGTGTGTATATATTTAGAACTAACTTTATGACGTTTTTATCAAAAATTGTCATAATTTGCTGTTTTTTCTATAATGTGATCGTACTAGCAAACTGTGATATTGAGAAATGTGTTGTTGAATCATCTAATGATTCCAGTACAAGTATACTTACCTTAAAGTTTTGATGCACAATTTGTAGAAATGCAAGGTAAATACATTAAGAATAGTTTTCCAGATGACAGTTTTAAAAGTTACTTAAATTAGAGATTTGTTTTTATAAATATGAAAATTGTATTTAGATGCATTGCCTTTATATTCTGAGATTAATTTTTCATATATTTTTTATGTTGTTCAATGTAAAGTAACAATAATTTTTATTTTTCATACAGGAGTTTATAGACAATATCTAAGGTTTTTTTGCTGGCTTTATTAATTTCAGTTAAAGTGCATATTCTGCTCAACCTTTTCTTGGTTCAATTATATTTTCATGTATGTTGGCTTGAACTTGCTTTCTTTAGGACAATATATTAGTTCGCCTTGTGAAATACTCCAACAAGCAGCCTTTACTGTGGATAGTGTATGCTCTAGTTATTGGTATTCCTGTCATCCTCTTTATTGGTTTCTGTTGTACAACCTCCCCAACCAACAAGGTAACTTGTATTACTTTTAAGAGTCCTAGTGTCTAATTTTTATGAATATAAATTGTAAAACTTCTTTATTCATATAGGCTTATAGAATAAACTGCATAGTAAATATTGTATTGTTAAAAATGTCTGTCTTCAAAATTGAGGTAGGATACTGGATATAGTATTTGTTTAATTGTAAAAAATGAGTTATTTTTGATGCCTTAGCTGGTGAAGAAATTCAGTATTAGTTAAATGTAAAGATCTTTCTTGGAAGATTGTACTATGATTATAGGATATTTGTTACAGAAGTTTATTATTTTAATGTGTGTGTGTGTGTATGATAGCCAAATGTCTGTATATCACACTGTATCTCCTGAAAGGTTAACCATAGAAAAAAAAAATAGTTGTATATCAAAATGCTTCTTTTCAAGAGTACAGTACAGGAAAATTATTCATTTTTTGCAATTCCTAAAATTTCATATTGATATCAACATTGATCCAAGACAAAACATATTAAGAACAAAATTATTTCTTTTTCTGAGAGAATTTCACAAATAAATGGGGCTTCCTTTGTCGACTGATTGGAAGAATTAATTTGAAGATGGGAGCATGAACAGAAAAAAAAGCATAAAGAGAGGAATGTGTTTTGACTGTATATTTGTTGTTGTTTGACTTATGGTTATTGTTTTTTCAATGTCAGTATTATATAAATGTGTGATTTTATTATAACATGTCAAATAAATTGATTTGAATTGCATCAAATATCTCCCTTTGACACTTCTTATAGAAATGATAACAGTGCATTTTATATTTATTCATTACTGTTTTAGGAAAATTAGTGTTGAATTATTTCAATGGGAATCAACTAATATGTATATAAAGCAAATACAATCAATTATAAATGCAAAAAAATTGCATAGAAGGGGAATAAAGAACAATTTACACAAGTTGCAGAAGAGCTGCAAGAAATTAAGATAACATCAGTTCATTTACAAATTTTAGGTGAAAAACTGTTATGCAAGCAAATGAAGAACAATAACAAAGGTTATGTCCTGTTTGCTTAAACTGATAGTCTCTCTAACTTACCATTAACTATGCATGGCTGGTTGTAAGAATGATAGCAACCCAATAATATCAAGTACAAAGTTAAAAAATAGTTTATTTGTATATATTTTTTTTATTGTATCATACCTTTAATTAAGTGATTGAAATATATTTTTATGCTCTTATTTTCATGGTTAGAGAAAGGAAGAAGAACGGAGAGCCAGAGCAAAAAAAACTGATGAGCTTCTTCCAGATGATAATATTGTAAAACCAAAAGCCCATGTGGGAAGCCCTCAGATGAAGGTTTATAGTAAAAAGACCAAGAAGGATGAAGATCAGCCAAGTCAGAAGAAAAAAGAAAGTAGTCAACAGGAAGAAGATGAAGGAAAGGAACAAAAAACTGAAGAGGCAGAGCTAGGCAAGGCAGAAGAAGTAAGTGCAGTAGATGTTAATGAAATGTTAGATTGTGGTAAGTCTAGGTGTGAACTTTACAATATTAATTAATATTATCCCCTTCTTTTTTTTTAATTTGCTTCCTTTCCATCCTCGGTTGTTGAAGCTATAGGTTTCCAATAAGCTACTAAAGTAAATGATTAAACAAAAATGCATAGTTAAGCTTTTAGTTTTGCTTAGAATGATGCTTTTAGTTTTGTATACATGTTTAATAAGTTATTGTGGGAAACTAGTGTGCATGCGTAGGTTTGTAGAGATGGTGGGAAATGATACATATGATACATCCTTCACATGAAGTTTAACCCTATCACGACCATTGAGAACCTTTCAGGTAGCTAGTGCATAGCTGCATATCAAATTAAAAAATCTTAAGTAAAAATAATAATTTCACTGTATTTCAATAATTTTTAACTCAAACATTTTACAATTGATATTTTGTCATTTTTGTAACCTCTCTAGTGAGAAAAATTTTTAAATGTTCAGACTTACATTTCTACATGGCTCCAACATTTTTATACTTACCCTAAAATGTAGGTTTATATTTACTAAGAAATTATCATTTCTTTATAATATAATTATCCATGTTTTGTTTCTCACATTATGCTCCTTCTCTTTCACTAATTGTATCTTATTAGTACATTCTCTCATTCACTGTTTTATTCTCTCAGCTTTGAAAATGGATACAAGCATAGTTTAAATACCATTGAATAGAGCTGATTATAAGTTATTTATAGCAATGTATATTAGATTAGCTTGAGAAGTAATTGAGAAGTTTTGTGGAAAAATGAAAAAACTAGCTTCTGCAAGGAAGAATAACAAAATATAATTGAAAGTTTAAAAGGGTTAAGAATAAACCATAGATGTGGGACTTTTCTATAGTTTCTTTAGATGTTATTTTCATTCTGAACAATTTTTTTGTGTTAACTTATATTTGTTTGAGAGTTATGGAAATTATCTTCTATGACAAGATATGAGGTCAACCTAGCTAGGTTTAATGAGTAAGGTAGTGATGACAAAATATTCCAGTGACTCACATCCTTATTTATTGTAAAGTGTATGATTTTCAAACAATGCAAGTAAATAATAATAAAAAAAACACCCATTGAAAAGAAGATATATTTATTTCATATTAATTGGTCTCAACCAAAAATTTAACCTAGTATCACTTTATGCCACCTTGAAAGCCCAGGTTGTAATTCACTTTATTAGTTTCTGCTTTTGTATTTTATAATTTATAGTCAGAAGTGGTGACTATTGCAATTGACAAAATAAAGTATTAAAAGGATGATGTTAATAAAAAAAATCAGTCAAGTTGCAATAGACTGGATATTTAAAATTGAACTTTCTAATCAACAATAAAAAGAATTTAAAATATAAGAAATATTAGACATTTTTTATAGTTTTTTTTCCCAAAAAGTGTCTCAACAAAATTTTGGAAATTTCATGACATAAAAAGTATAGAAAAACATTCAATTTATATGAATTGCGTTTAAGCCAAAACTAGATAGAATAAATTTAGTTAAGAATTTCCAATGTGAGAAGGAAAAAATAATCCAGGAATATCAATGATATTCTCTAGGCCAGAGAGAGTTAATAATTTTTTCTTTGTCAAAAAGAAAAAAAAAATGCAAATATAAGTTGTATTTTTAGATCTTTTAAGATATAGTAGAACATTAGTAGTATATATTTGTAAAACAAATATGCCCCATTGAGATATTTGATGTTGATTGATATGATGCTTCCAGCCATAAATAATCTGGAAAATTAGTTATAAAGACAATGGTGTCTTTGAAACTCTCCTGGCTTATCAACAAACAAATGAACAAGACAATATAAAATAAATAAGTAAAATTTGTCAAACACTTGTCACAAAACACTTGCCTGTTTTGTATTTATAGGGTTTGTATTTGGATTCATCATTTAAAACAATTGGACATCAGCTTTGCATTTAATCTAGTATTCATACTAAAATAGTTCCACTTTTTTTAATGCTCACATGTGTAAGCTCTTCTTTGAATCCATAAGCAAAATAATTTTTAATATTCATTTGATATAATTGAAGCAATGGTTTATATTTAAAAACAAAAAATCCATGTCCATTTGTTATAAATCTTAAGTCTGATTTGTTAGAGCTGTTGACCATTACACTGAAAACTAGAGTTTGTGGACTGAACTGCTGTGAGCTTGTTCTAATAAATTAAACTTTTTCTAACTATAAAACTTTCAATGATCTTGGAGGTGTTAGTCAGTGTTGTCAAGCTAGGTATTTCTATTTCTTGTTGAAATTATAAATTAAAGTATTGACTACTTGTCATAGATAGTATTTGAGCTGTTATTTAAAATTTGAAAGTTTTATCATTATGTAAGAATATTTATATAGAAGTAAATACAGGTGAAGCTCTCTTGCTGTTCATAAAACTATACCTGTTAAATTTAACCAACTACAGCTCAGATTTTTAAAGTTTACTGTAATATCTGTATTAGGGAAGCAAAGTTGAATATAGATTTTGGCTTTCTGGAGTTGGACTAGACAGTATAGTAATGGCACATACACCTTTACTCTGAGATAGTTTTGTCTTGTGAACATTACTTAGCCCACTTTTTTTTTGGTTTTTACTTAAACAACTTGTGACACAGCCACCCACTAATTGTAGAAAACAGATCTTTATATAATTTTTATTATGGCACTTTGTGGTGCTTAGAAATTGAATATTATATTTTTACAGGAGAATATTGATGGGCTAGGAGCTGGTGATGTAAGACTGTCACCAAGACGCAGAAGAACTCGACGAGAATAAACAGTAGTTACTTAAAGGAAGAGGATACTGTTGCTGGATTTGGTTCAGGAAAACAAGTGCCTAGTCACATAGTAATTGCAAAGAAATGCTGGTATATGGGAAGCTTGAAACATGATGGAGAACCTGTCTTAGTCATTGTTACATATTAATTTATTTTAAATGTTTTTTATTATATTTAAGATGTAATGGTGTTCACAAGATGTAACTACTTTTTTCAGTGTTTTTTAGAATGTACATTGTTTTAATGCATGCAAAAACATCAAACCTGTAACTGATATCTTCTACTTTCACTTGAATTAGATGGTAATTGTTTAAGTACATGCTAGATCAGTGGTTCTCAAAGTATGCAATGCACCTCCCTAGCTGCTGTGTGGCAGTTTTTTTGTTTTGTTTTTTAAAGAGAATTTTAGTGATTAAAAAAAGTTGTTAGACAAATAACTCAAACAAAAAATATTGCTAATAACTTGTTTATTTTGCCAGGTGACATTCCATAGTAACCATGATAGGTCAGACTTATGCTGTGTGGGTTTCCCATGCAATCTATCAAACTGTAAACTATAGGCATACACAACTGTTTTTCCTTACCAGAGGAAGGTTCACTATGACAAATTTTGAGAACCACTGCATTAGAACAGCCTGCTTAAATTGTTATTCTTATTTCATATTGCAATTTAGAAACAATTTTGAAAATTAAGGAGATTTTTCACCAGATTATGTAGTTAAATGATTTGCTTGTAATATCTGTGCTTGTAACTCCAGGGATTTTTATTGCTTTTAACAATTCAAAGTGTGCTACAGACAATTCGGGGAATTTGTAAAATATTTATACAGCTTTTTAAATTTCATTAAAGAGGATTATTATAAAGCTCAATTATAGCATGCAAAATACTTAGTTACAGAGGTATTTACTAAGTGTTCCTTTTTTTTAATGTATTATTTATTCAAATTGAAAATATACCCTGTCATAAGTTTAAGTTATCAAACTGAACTTTACAACTATTTTTATTAGTTTGAGTATCTAATATTTATTGCACAAAATCTAATGTTGCTCAGTCTAATTAGATTAGAGAATGTGGCAGGAATAGTTGGATATTTTATTTTTTGAGTTTGCATGTAAGTAGTGTTTATATACTTATAACTGAAGTTTGTTTCACAATTTGTCATTGCTACATAGTCAAGTTTAGCATCAATAATTTCAGTCAGCTTTTGTAGTAATTTATAGCTGTATCACTTATTTTGGAGATTGTTTAGCTGGCATTTAGTCAATAAAAAAGTCAAAATTCTAATTATATTGGTCTTGCTTTGGATGTTCTTCAGGAAGAAAAAATTGCAGACAAAATTTAGTCACTATTTATCACCATAAAAAAATTTTGTTGCATTTTCAGATTCATTCTTCAAGTTCTCCCACACAAAAGACTAAAACTTAGACTTTGTTTTCACAAGGAACACTTAGTAAGAGGAGAAAGTAACTTGTGGTAATTTTCATCAAATAGTTCTTAAACTATCTGTCAAAAGTATTTAATAAGGCCCATAAAGTCTTAGGTTTCATCTTTAAAACATGTACTAATAGCATGTTTAAAAAGTGTCAAATATAGCCAATTTCATACTGTGAAAAATTTCACGTAAATATATTTGGCTTTGAAGGCAGATTTTATAAATAAGATTCAAAACTACCCTTTCCAACCTCTCTTTGTAGTGTAATATCTCTGTAATAAATGAAGGTATTACAATTTATTCTTCAACTTGACAAAAAAACTCCAAAAAATTTGTAACATATGTTTTTATTTTCAAGCTCAGTAAAAATAAAAAATGTGTGTAAGTATCCTAATATGGCTTGGATACAGACCAAAATGTATTTCAAAAGTAAAAAAAAGCAAGAATTGTTTGTTTCTATGTACTCGTATACATCAACGTATGCACAAAATGGGCTAAATGGCTAAGACAAAGACCTTCAAGGCCAGGTTTAGCCAAATGGTTAATTTGCCTGACTGTGAACACAAAGGTCCAGGTTTTGCATTCTGTCACTGCAAATAAAAAATCCCACTATGCACTTTGGGGGCCATGGGTGCATTATAAGTGACATAAACAACAGCTTGATCTTTAGACTAAAGTAAATATCAGAAATACAGAACGTAAAATCAGTGCATTTGAGAAGAATCTTGTTTAAAAAATAAATTCAAAGAAAACTACAAGTATCATTATAATACATCTTATTACACAAAACTTACAGGCTACTGTGATAGGACTGGATGTCAGATTGCTTTAATATTACCTAAAATAATTAACTTCTAAAGGTTATCTACGAGTGTCTTTTTCACTTCAAATTTTTAGATAAGGTAAAAAACAAAACAAAGGCTGAGTAATGCCTTTATGAGAGATTTTTACTGCTGCCAAGATTATAGTTTTGGGTGGGAAAATATTCATTTTAGCAGTGTGATAAAAATTGGGATAATTGTGATAATGATATGATTGTGATACTCAAAATGTCCCATTTTTTATCACAATCTATGAATGAATATATTAGCAAAAAAGATGTTGCTAAGAACGTCTCTAAAATTTACTTTCATACAAGTTTATTTGCTTATAATTAGATGGATTTTGAAAATATAAAATCACTGTTAGGGATTTTTTTTTAACAAAATGTTAAATTCTGAAACAAGTTACTGCCCAGAATTGTAACACGTATTTTTAAAATTACATTTTGGATGAATCTTTCTTAATTTAGCCTTCCTTAAATTAAATATTAACTTTGTAATTTTAGAGAGCTTTTAGTAATTTCAAGAATATGTGAAGTGAAAAATTTTTTAAGCAAAGAAATGATATTTGCACATAAAGTATGTGGTACTTTTGAATCACTTTGTGAAAATATGTTCCTAAACCTAACTTTAAATTGATACCTTAATAAAATGAATGCAAAAACTAGTTAGCTACTTTGGTGGTGTAATAATGTTAATGTCAACAATATGCAAAAGAGTTTTATATCTCTAGTGGCTCACCCATAAGATTGAGAGCTTATAACACTAAAATTTAAAGTTTAATCCTTGTGGTGGGCACAACACAGATAACCCATTGTACAAATTTATACTTAATAACAAACAAACACAGTTTTAAAAAATGTGGCAAACCTTATAGTGTCAAAAAATTCCATTCTTTATGTTGCAATGTTAATTCAAAGAGAGCTCCTTTTTTGGGCATCTCAACTACAAAAGGGGTCAATTATTAAAACATTTATGGTTTTTACACTTAAACAATTTTTCATATGATTTAAAGTAAACCTGCGTTTCTTCTCCTAGTCATTTTTCAAAGTACAGCAAGCTCTCCTTAAATTATTGTTCATCTTACGAGAAAACGATAGCATTTAATCCATTAAATACTCGCCTATTACTTTTAATACGAGTTTTGTTTAAAAATTCAGATATGCATTTAATTTAATATTCCAAGTACGGTATACCTTCTGAAACCTGGAACTTTTACACGTTTAACAACTTTCTACGTTTTAAGTAGCATGCAATAAAACAAGGGTTGCCTCTTTAGACACCTCATCAGCTCCAGGTGTTAACAATAAACCTAGGAACACTCAAGCGACTTGGAAATAAAGTAAGTAGGCTTCACGCCTCCAACTTTTGACACAGACAAAATCGCCATCTCTGAACGAATCAGATGTAAAACGAGTACTTTCCAGGAAAGACTTAATTTAAGATTTGTTATCACATTGTGCGTTTAGTTATAAACAAAAATGTCATTCTTTCGTCTTATAATTGTCATATTATATGTAGCATATAAATAAAATTGTAGATATTATTAAACAGCAAAGGAATATCAATAGAGTAAATATTAACTAAATATACAGGGCTATTAAGATAAGCAAAACGGAGATCAATTTAATTTTTTAAAGAAATAGTTAAACTGGGTAAATCTAATAAAGTACCTAGAAGCATCTTAGTTTCAAAGTGAGTCGGATCATACATTGTTTTTCCAGATTTTAAATATGTTGACGTGGAAAGTAACAACATCATCAAAAGCAAATTCGAGAAATTAGCGCATCATTGGTGTTGGAAACTGTCACTGTAGAAGGTAACCCCTGAATTTTTTTTTTTCAATTTTAAAAGCTGAAACGTGTTGGGTGTTATGAAATAATTAAACATAGAAACAATTACCATAAAGTCACTTTAAACTAAGGCACGTGTTTATTTACTAATAAATTTCATTCCCATTTAAGTCTCAGTTCGGGCACTGGTCGGTTATAGTATTCGGCGCCTGACCAGTGAAATTGGGTTTTTCTCAGGGAGTTCCTACATATACATCCAACCTTCAGCGTAGGATCAATTTATCCCTGTCCCGTTTCTATCATAAGATCCCATGATCCCTTCTGTTGGATCCATTGACCCTTTTTTCTCTTCATTCGCGCCAAGAAGTAGGACAAGTACATATTTCGTATCGTGAGAGGAACGAAGGGGGTAATTCCGGTTTACAAAAACCCGGGCCTTCAATCCTGAACAATTGCCAGAATAATGATGACTGTCATGAAACAGAAAAATAAAACCTATACCTTCAATAAAGGAAGATTATAGTTTTCATAACCAAGTTCATGATCGATGTTGTGGAGTGGTATTCAATGGATCTTTATGGGGTAGACATTCTACGTCTTAACCTAGCTAGGGTAATCGTAACTGAAAGTGTTCAGTGTCGACGTCCACAATAGCTTTTTATTAATTCGGTTTTGGCATCTCTCGCGAACAGCATTCGAACTCTGGACCTCTCGCACGTCAGGCAAGTGCTTTAACAACTGAGCTAATAGGTTAATTCTGTACCAATTGCAAATAAGACACTTTTCACCAACATAGCTTTGGAACCTTCTGTCGTCTTATCATAATATGAGCTTATGTGTTTCATATTACAAAATTATAATCATATATATAACTACACCATCTAGTAGAGCGACAAGTTCTTATATAACTTTTATTGTACATACAGACACACATACACACAAGCCGTCTGCATAATCATATTCTGCTATTATTGAGTTTGTTTTAGCGCAAGACTATACAACATCTGCTCCGTGACCACAGCGGTGATGGAACTCAGAATTCTGACGGTATAAGTCCTGACGCTTACGGATGAGTTGCCAAGGGAGTTTGTGTTTGCAGGGCAATAGTCAGTTCATTTTTCAAAATTTCTTTGACTACTCATGTTTTTTTAATACTGCATATTTGTAGTACACTCAATGGTAATTTATTTCAAAGCAAAGATAGTTTTGATGTCACATATAAATAGGCGATAAATCTTTATACGAATTTAGACACAATTTGAAAAACAAAATTGTATTTCATGGAACCATTGGTGTAGTCATTTGAGTCATATCCAGGGTTAAGGGAGATCGTGGGGACCCTTAATTTCCAGATTTAACACTACGCCACTGCATAAAACCGTTTTAAACGTATTAATTATATGTTTAGAAATGGCACTATATGATATCAATTACAAATATTTTTTTTATTTATTTAAGAACTAATGTTAACATTTACTCCATCAAATGACTTATATTGTAAACACAAACAAGGTTATACTTACAAACATTCCAGATGTGTTAAAGTCACGACCAATATAACTGGCTTATGATGTGAGTTGAATTCAAAATTAAGGACGGCTAGCGCAGATAGTCTCTTAATAACATTAGTTGAATATCCGAAAACAAACACAAAATGTTTTTGCAAATATAATACATGATCTGTAACCATTATTTAAATAAACTTTTACTTCTTTGTAGAATCTTTTAAGGTCTTAAAATTCTTGAAGATTTAGGAATATTTAAACAGTTGAAATTTTGAAGAAAAATAAACTTAATGGCAGCTTTTGAGAAATTAGATAGAAATCCGATGTACTATAAACAATAATATTTCTAAAGTACACAATCTGTAATAAGTACAAAGGGTTGAATAGGTTATATTATAACAATTTTGAATATACATATTAGCAAGTCACATGAGAACCATAGCTGTTATAAGGTCACGGTGGAACGAAACTACATTTTAACATTGCTTGGAGTTCGTAGGTAGTGTTATGTCATTGAAAATTGATGCTTTTGGGAGGAACATGTAACAGTTCTTTTTTTTTTTCCAACGCAAAATATTCATACACTCAGAACATAGATATATGTTCAGATCGGAGATTTAAATTTTCCAAGATGGGGATATCCTTTGTACTTAATGGCACTGGAAAACAAAGAAATGTGGATCTACTTGGGGCATTAGGATCATCAAAGAAGAGATCTGCGACACTTTGTACCCTA